AGTTTTGAGAAAGATCTATATTCATCATGACTTGTAGTTGCCACATGGAGTAATATAAATCATTTGATTTGATAGATTGACTTATACTTTTTTATCTATCATAGTAAAAGAGAACATATACATCTCCTATCATTCGAAGAAAATTTCGAAGATTTTGTGATATAGATCCTTCTAATTGGTTACATGTGTTAGGATCGCACAACAACGCACACACTCGATCTAGATGAACACAAAAAAAAGGATAGAGAAAATTGCAAGGAGAACTCTGGCTAAAAGGATTTTTTTATTTGATGATTTCAGGTATGTACAACAAGAGAGAGTACAAAGAATAGAAAGTACATCTTCAAAGCTTTACTGGACGGGATATATATATGGTTCAGTCTACTAAATATAGTTTTACCAGATTTAACCATCTACTATATATAGCTATTTACCATATATAGCTTTACCGAATATAGCTTTACCATATATGGCTTTACCAAATATAGCTTTACCGGATATAGCCGTTGACCAAGCTATAAATACAGGGAGCAGACTCCATAACTCAACAATTCTCCCACTTGGAAACTGATCTTACACCATACCAATTAGGGCTTTGCATAACCTTAATTTTCCAACATCAACACATTTTGTCAACATGTCTGCTGGATTCTTTGCACCCTCTATCTTCTCCAAACACATATCGCCGTCTTCCACTAACCTGCGAGTGAAATGGTACCGTCTTCTAATGTGTTTTGTCCTTGAATGATAGACTGGGTTTTTCACCAACTGTATGGCACTCTGACTATCTATATGAAGGATCTTCTTGCACTGCTTCCGGCCTAATTCTTCTAGATAGTCTGTCATCCATATCATCTCCTTTCCAGCTTCAGCTATAGCCACGTACTCAGCTTCAGTAGATGAAAGAGCAACGCATTTNTTTCTGAAGCTTGGACATCCAACTCACTGCTGTTCCATCTATAGTGTAGATATACCCAGATGTGCTCTTGCTGGAGTCTACATCTCCACTCAGATCAGCATCCACAAAACCTTGCAGAACTACTTTGTCATTGCTATAACAAAGTGTAGTATTGGATGTACCTCTCAGATATCTCAGAAGCCACTTCACAGCTTCCCAATGTTCCTTCCCTGAATTTGTCATGTACTTGCTAACAACTCCCACTGCATGTGTTATGTTAGGTCTAGTGCAGACCATAGCATATATCAAACTCCCAACTGCAGAAGCGTACGGAACTGATGCCATGTGCTCACGTTCTTCAACTGTCTTGGGAGATTGCCCCTTTGACAATTTAATATGATTTGCCAAGGGGGTAGTCCTGGGTTTAGCGTTATTCATCTTGAATTTGGACAACACCTTCTCAATGTACTGTTCTTGGGATAGATTTAATGTGCCAGCAGATCTATCTCGAGAAATCCTCATCCTAAGGATCTGCTTCGCTGCACCTAAATCTTTCATCTCAAATACTGAAGACAAGCTTGCCTTCAGGTGGTTTATCTTCCTCATACTTGATCCAGCAATTAGTATATCATCCACATACAGGAGTATAAACACATAAGAATCAGTGTATTTCTTGAGGTAGCAATACTGATCCTTTTCACTTCTGTGGAAACCACTCTTGCTCATGAAGGAGTCAAACTTCTTGTACCATTGTCTCGGTGCTTGTTTCAGTCCATACAAGCTCTTATTGAGCTTACACACCATGTGCTCCTTGCCTGGAGCTGCAAACCCTTCGGGTTGTTGCATATAGATCTCCTCATCTAGATCTCCATGTAAAAAAACTGTTTTTACATCCATTTGCTCGAGGTGCAAATTCTCCGATGCAACAATACTCAGCAGAATTCGGATAGTAGTTAATTTCACAACTGGAGAAAAGATCTCAGCATAATCAATGCCTTTTCTTTGTGAATATCCTTTAACTACTAACCGGGCCTTAAACCTCCTTCTGTCATCTGGTTCAACCTTGATTTTGAACACCCATTTGTTCAACAGAGCTCTCTTTCGTGTAGGCAACTCAGTCAGCACCCACGTATTATTCCTTTCAAGTGAGCTCATCTCATCATCCATGGCTTGCTCCCACTTGGTTGAATCTTCCACTTGTAGGGCCTCATCAAAGGACTCTAGTTCTCCTTCGTCAGTCAGCAACAGATAATGTAATGAGGTTGAATATCTATCTGGTGCTCTGGTAGTTCTGGATGATCTTCTCAACACCTGCTCAGGTGCTACTTGCTCCACGTCTGGTTCTTCAGCAATAGGATCAGGAGTTTCTTTTGCTTCTGTTCTACCATCACTGCGTGAATTTTCTTGTCACTCAAGTTCAACTCCCACTTGCTTCGTAGTCTCAGAGTTTATCTTCTCTCTGTCCTTGTACATGACATTTTCATCAAAGGTCACATCACAGTGTCTTAGGATCTTCATATTTTTCTCATCCCAAAACCTGTACCCAAACATGTCAGAGCCATAGCCTATGAAGTAGCATTTCACGGCCTTAGCATCAAACTTATCTCTCTTCTCTAGATCAACATGGACATACGCAGTACAACCAAAGGTTCTCAAGTGAGAGTACTTGAGTTCTTTTCCTGTCCATACTTCTTCGGGCAATTTGAACTCCAAGGGTACTGACGGCCCTCTATTAATCAAATATGCTGCTGTGTTCACAGCATCAGCCCAGAATGTCTTTGGCAATCCAGAATGAATCCTCATGCTTCTTGCTAGCTTATTCAATGTTCTGTTCATTCTTTCTGCAATACCATTTTGTCTTGCCTTACCGGGAATTGTTCTTATTAATCTAATTCCCTCAGCTGCACAAAATGTTATAAACTCTGATTTGTTGTATTCTCTTCCATTGTCAGACCTCAGACATTTGATCTTTAAGCCGGTCTGATTTTCAACTTCAGCTTTCCACTTCTTGAAGGTGGTAAACACATCTGACTGGTGTTTCATAAAGTAAACCCATACCTTCCTGCTAAAGTCATCGATGAAGGTGACGTAGTACCTTGATCCACCAAGTGATGAAACTGGAGATGGTCCCCAGACGTCTGTATGGACCATTTCCAACCGCACTTTCTTCGGTTCTCTGGCAGCCTTTGTGAAACTAACTCGTTTCTGTTTGCCCATAACGCAGCTCTCACAAAGACCCATATCAACAGATTTTAAGCCTTCTAAAGCTCCTTTCGCAGTCAGCATCTTCATTCCTTTGACGCTCATATGTCCAAGTCTATTGTGCTATAGACTTGAATTGGAAGCACTCTCAGCAGCTGTGTATAAGGTTCCGGATTTTGTGCCACGCGCAACAACCATGGCGTCCTTCACAATCTTCCAGGAACTCTTTCCAAACTCTGCTGCATAGCCTGTGCTATCCAACTGACCAATAGAGATCAGGTTCTTCTTGAGACCAGGAATGTATCTGACATCTTGTAATGTCCATAGATTTCCTGCTGGAGTTTGTATAGAGACATCTCCCTTTCCTTCAATCTCCAAGGCTTTGTTGTCGGCAAGATACACCTTCCCGAAATTTCCTGATTTGAAATTTCGAAACAAATCCTTACTTGGAGACGAATGGAACGATGCACCTGAATCCAAAATCCAGGATTCAGCTGGGCTATCCACACTAAGGATTAAAACGTCCTCAGCATCTTCTGTTGTGTATATAGAATCATCATCGTCTTCAGATTTATGATTCTGCTTCTTCTTTAGTTTTGTACAATCTGTCCGAAAGTGTCCTTTTCCCCCACAGCTCCAACACGTTACATTGGGTTTGTTTGGAGATTTTCCCCGGTTCTTTGATTTTGAACGCCCATGTTTGTTTGAGCTCTTTGATTTGCTTCTTCCCCTCCGATCAACACTGAGAGCATTGCCTGATGAATCTCCAGTTTCCCGTTTGCGAATACTTTCGCTGAGAACTACATCTCGAATTTCATCAAACTTCAGTTTATCAGATCCTCGGGAACTGCTGATTGCGGCAACAACAGTATCCCATGACTCGGGTAAGGATGACATCAAAATCAATGCTTTAATTTCATCTTCGAAATTAATTTCCACCAAACCCAGTTGACTTATGATCATATTGAATTCATTTATATGATCCGCAACACGTCCACCTTCAGACATCTGTAGATTGAACAATCTACGCATCAAATACACCTTGTTCATAGCCGACGGTTTTTCATACATATTTGACAGCGCCTTCATCAGATCTGACGTTGTCTTCTCCTTGATGATGTTAAACGCCACGTTTCTGGATAGCGTTAACCGGATCATCCCTAAGGCTTGTCGATCCTTGAGCTTCCACTGTTCCGTGGTCATGGTATCCGGCTTCACCCCCAACAGAGGTTCGTGAAGATCTTTCTAGTACAGATAATCTTCAATCTGCATCTTCCAGAAATCGAAATCGGATCGATCGAACTTCTCAATTCCAATCTTTGAACTTTCCATCTTCACAGATCGTGGTAAATTTTGCCTTGCTCTGATACCAGTTGTTAGCTCTGATACCAGTTGTTAGGATCGCACAACAACGCACACACTCGATCTAGATGAACACAAAGAAAAGGATAGAGAAAATTGCAAGGAGAACTTTGGCTAAAAGGATTTTTTTATTTGATGATTTCAGGTATGTACAACAAGAGAGAGTACAGAGAATAGAAAGTACATCTTCAAAGCTTTACTAGACGGGATATATATATGGTTCAGTCTACTAAATATAGCTTTACCAGATTTAACCATCTACTATATATAGCTATTTACCATATATAGCTTTACCGGATACAGCTTTACCATATATAGCTTTACCAAATATAGCTTTACCATATATGGCTTTACCAAATATAGCTTTACCGAATATAGCTGTTGACCAAGCTATAAATACAGGGAGCAGACTCCATACCTCAACAACATGCATGATCCAAATTGCGTAAGTAAGTGAGATTGTAGAGACTCGAAGGAATTGTACCATTGAACAAATTACCTCTTAGTCTTAGAAAAACCAAATCTCCAAGATTATTACCTACCCATGTAGGGATGTTTCGTAGAATTTATTTCTGCCAAGATTTAAAAAATTTAAATCTCTAGCATTCTTCATGACACTTGGCATGGATCCCTCAGAGTTGTTTTCCAAGTTCAACATTTGAACACCCAAAAGATTTCCATGTGAATATGGAAATTTTCCTGAAAAATTGTTCGAAGATAAATCCAAAAGTATCAAATTTGAAGACAACACAAACAACCTTGCACCATTCTTCAACTTGCAAAGTGAGAGCGGTAAAGAATCATTGATAAGATTATCATTGAGATACAAGTTCTCTAAATTGGGCATTTGTGCCCTAATACTTGTAGGAATTGGCCCCACAATTTGGTTGTAGGAAAGATCCAAAGTGGTGAGATTTTGAGTTCTCAACCACCTTGGAAAAGCACTCGAAATACTTGTATTGGACAACCACAAATTAACTAATGTCTTTTGTGTTCGAAGCCATGGAGGGAACTCACTTCCAAAATAACCAATACATGAACCTGCATCAAAATGGTTTAATTGAAAAGCAGGAACCCAATTAGATGTCATTTCCAATGAAAGATGCTCATTGTCGGCAATTAATAAAGAATTCAACCGAGAGAGATTGTCAAAATGAGCTTCTTCAAGAACGAAAGTTTCCAAATTTTCAAGTTGGATAAAACATTCCTCCTCCAACTCCTCCAATCTATTCTGTCCAAGATACAATTTTTTCAAATTTAATAATCTACCAAATGAAGTAGGATTTGCTCCGATTAGAGCATTGTTTGAAACATCTAAATCTTTAAAGTTGGATAAATTGCCAAGTGAGGTAGGAATTGAACCATAAATGAGGCTTGTAGAAAGGGAAAGGGACTGCAAATTTTTAATTTTCCTAACCAATCTGAAATTTTGATTTTCATAGATGTATCATGTAATTTAAGCACTTGTATATCATAATGGTCGCAACTCATAGATTCATTTTTATCACTTCTAAACACATCTCCTCTAAAATCAGGATTGTACTATAAATCAAGTGCTTTTAAGATACAATTATTTCCAAATATGAAAGATGAAACTCCACCATCTATAGAAGAATTCATTTAATGAAAGATCTAGGAATTTCAAGAAAGTCAAATTGTGAAAAGCCTTAGGAATTGTACCATGAAAGTTATTAGAAGACAAATCTAGATGTTGAATTCTAGAAAGAAATGAAGAATTGGTGGAAAACAAAGACAATTGGTTGTTTTGAAGCCTATAATCTCTCAATATTAGGGATGACAATAAAGGAAGAGAACTTAGCACTTGCATTAAATTGGAAGCCTTTGAAAGATGCGTACCACTCAAGCGAAAGAAGTGCAAGGAAGAAAGGTGAGATATCCATTCAACGTCGCAATTGAGTTGCTTCAATTCAACTCCACTTATGGCATAAGGGTAAGAATTTGATAAATCAAGAACAACCAATTTAATAAGGTTTCCTATATGATGAGGAAGAGATGATGTATCATGGAATGCATAAGAAAGATTAAGATAAGTTAATTCATCCATTGAACCTAAAACGTGTGGGATTCGAGTAAAGTGAAATCGTTCCCACTTAAATCCAAGTAATTTAAGTATTTAAGCTCAAGCAAATTAGAGTGAATAGAATTACTATGTAAAGCTAAGGAGGGGTAGTCAAACCAATTGTTTCGAAGGTCAATCATAGTAACATGTCCAGTAGTTTGATTGCAGCCCACACCATACCAATTACAGCAATTTATTCCACTCCATGAAGCCAAACGATGAGAAGAATCATTCGAAAAACCTTTTTTGAATTGAAGGAGGGCCTCTCACTCCTTTTGAAGGTAGGTTATAGCTGAAACTGTGGAAAAAGAAAATTGAAATATCACCGTCATGGATAACACAAAGTTTCTTCATTCCTTTTGAATGCAGATTATAGCTGAAACTGTGGAAAAAGAAAATTGAAATATCACCATCATGGATAACACAAAGTTTCTTCATTTTGGAAAGAATGTGAATGAAGTGGAGAAATGATTCTCTTTATAAATGAATCTTTACACAAAACTTCTTTTTCTTTTTGTTTTATTTAATTTTAAAAGGATAGGATTGAACCCCATTAAAATTTTTGACATAAATATATTACTCAACCACCTTGTATTTAAATTTGGAGAATGATCTTTCAACTTGAGAAATATTTATCATATCATTTTAATGAAATGGTCTCTTCATGGACTAATTCTCAAAAAATTTCATTTCATCTCTAATATTAAGTTCATTTTATAGTAGTTTTTTGATTTTTTTTTTCTCTTGGTATTTATAAATTTGAATTAGAATATGGATAAATAAGGTTAATAAATTTTTTATTATTAGTTTACATTTTTAAATAGATGAGATAACATTAATAATTACTATTAGTCAATAATAGTACATGAATGAGTAGTAATTATAAATTTAAAAAAAATCATAAAAAAGTCTGTAAAGACTTTAAGAAAAATAGTCCTTTGTGTTAGTAAAGAAATGGACCAGAAGTTGTGGGAGATAAAATGTTTGAAAGACAACTTGTGTGACCAAAAGACTTACTTTTGAGTCAACTAATTTTAATTTTAATTTTTTACTATATCTCAAATAATAATTTTATTTAATTACAAATAATATCCTATTTTTCAAATAATTTCTTGACTTGTTCAATTTTTTTCATTAATTTTAATACTTTAATAAAGTTGTTTGCCCATTCAAACCCTACAATAAAATTTTTATTTTTTTAATTTTGGAATAAATGAATAATATTAATAAATATGAAAGAAAGTGCAATAAAAAAAAGTGATGGAAGACTTTAATTATAAAAACTAATAATTATAAAAATTAGATAAATATTTTGAAATTATATATTGAATAAAACACCAACATTCATTTCTAATTTATTAAAAGTGAAAAAGCATTAATTGTGATAGAGAAAAAAATGTCTCCAATCCTTTTCTAACAACCTTCCTCTTTTAATTTGAAAACGGGAGCTAGAAGTATGGTAGATCATTAGATGAATGTAAATGAATATCCATAGCCCAGCTACGATGTTGAGCACATATGAATGTAATCAGCAAGCGATCAAGTTCGTTAGGCAAAGATCGGGAGGAAAAGATTTGTTGCGATCAAGTTGTTATGTATGTTGATCTAACTCCAACAACTATTTATTGTGTGTCAAAATTTTAAACATTTCTTCAAAAACCCAACAAACAACCTCTCTAATCTCCAGCTCCATTTTTGTGACTATCAATTTATTTCATAAAATACGTAAAACTTAAGAATTTGAAACCATCATCGATGAATTAAAAAAATATCATATTTTATTTAATAAGCTAAATTATATTGATGTGATTTAATAATCTAAGCCAATTTGGATGTCTTGAATTCATTTAAGAAGTGAGCAAAACACAAATTGGCTAACTATGGTAGACTATTTTCTAGATGTTAATGAATAAGACGAGCTTCTATTTATCGACAATATCTTTCGTTTCGTTCAAGTAAGATTTGAAGTATCTACGTTACTCGGTAGAATACTTTTAACTTTGGGTTATCAACCGACTCTTAGTATCGAAATTGGCTTCCTTACAAGAAAGAATTACTTCTACCAAGAAATTCGTTAGGATATTGAACAGAAATTGGGATCTAAAATAAAAATGATTCAGAGACCTTATCTTTTATTCCAACTCATCCCATATTTGTTTCTATCTCCCCATTTTCATCTAACATTCTAACAAATTTGTACTCTAAGAACAATTTTTTTTTAAATGTTCATCAAATGTAAAGAATAATATTGTAACTTTTGAGAGAATATCAATAATTTTCATATATATATATATATATATCTAAAAGTTCAAGGATATTTTTTTAATTATAATTTAGCGATAGTTAGTTATTCTCAATGATTAAAATATAGGGTATAGGGTTTATACATGGATATATCAATAAATGGGAGGTTTCGAAATCAATATTAAAGATTAATCGATCTCTTTTAAATCTTTTATAAATACCCATAAAATATAAACAAATATATCATCTATTAACCTTAATATAAATATAAATACTGTGATATCATGCTGACTTTATAATATAAAGTCAATTTGAAAGGTTGAGCTCCATAACAAACAAACAAAAAAAACAAAAAAAAAAACAAAAAACTTAAAAATTATTAAGAGCCATATGTGTAAAACCTACCTTTACATGGTAAAGGATTAAGAATCATATATATATCAAACATATATATTTATAAATGTTATGTGGTGATTGACGAATAATAGTGTTATATAATTAGTGTAAATGACAGAATAAGTAGAATACATATCTTAATAATGATAAAATAGTATGAAATAATGATTTCAAACTTAAATTATCTCAATAAAGATAAAATCAAATATGTGATGGTTATGCTAAAAAATGTTATCAAATGAACAGAAACAACTAAGCACTAAACAACTAAGCACTAAAGATGAAAACATGTCAACCGAGAACTAAAAAATAAGGAAAAACAGAAAACTCCAAAACATTCGAGATGGAGAAAACTTATAAAAATGATAATATGTCCTATCTAACATGATATGGCAATGAGTATAACGGTTAATCTTATATAATCGTAATCTCTTAGCAATCATTGTAGTGGCAGCAATAATTTCAGACTGAATGAGAAGATTGGCACACGAGCAAGCGTAAAAGAGGATTGTCGAACAATTGACTGAATGACAAAAAAGCAGAAAGCAGTATTAGAGTGGGGATGAAGAAACATGACTTCAAATCATACTATCAAGAAAAAATTAACCAAAAGAGAATGAATGCATTAATTAGAGAAGCGAAAAATTGATGGTTTGTAATAGATTTTAAATAAAATAAGAACTTTGTTACCTATTCATTTGTGAATGCAGATTCCTTTTAACATTTGTATGCTCCGTTGCATTGTTGTATGAATCTTGTCTTTAGACACATGTATAAAGTTGAAGTATGCGTATCTCCAACACCTCTTCAATATTAAAACTCCAACAACGGCCCAAAATTCAACCACATACCCAAGTATTATCATTATGTAAAGCAACCACTTCTCCCATTTATCCTCCTCTTCATCTTGATTCTCCATATTTGTAGATGACCGCTCAAATGGATTCTCAATTGTACACTTCTTTGGAAGCGGATCTCCACAAAGATTAGGATTGTTACCAAAACTTGAAGCCTCATTGGATGTGGAAAGATGACCCTCTCGAGGAATCTCTTCAGAGAGATTGTTGTGAGATAGTTTCAACACGCCTAATGAATTTAATCTTGATATGCTCCTCGGAATTGGCCCGGAAAGTTGATTGAAAGATAAATCAAGTGATTCCAACGATTCAACTTCTCCTATTTCAGCCGGAATTATCCCTGTTAGATTGTCGTGGGACAAATTCAACCCAATCAACTTTTTAAGCATCGTTATCTCACTTGGAATGGAACCGACCAAGTAGTTTTGATAGAGATCTATATTCACCATGACTTCTACTTGCCACATGGAGTAGTATAAGTCATTTGATTTGATAGACTGACTTATACTTTGGCCTCTATCATAGAAAAAGGGAACATGTGTGATAAGATTCAACAAAAATTCATTCTTCATCTACAAAATTGGATCGGCTCGGTTCAACCATCATTTGTAGAATTAGAAGCTAATACGATTACGAAGGACAATTGAATATTTGCATGGTTGAAGTTGGAAAACATTAAAAGTGAAGCCTAATAGATTTGAAGTTTATTTCTTTAGCCACTCAAACATATCAACATTTGTTGAAAGATTTTATTGTTTTTTTGTTTTCATTTTGCAATGGTCAATTGGTCAAAATTGACTTTGTCATTTGTGGAGATTAAAAGGGGACCGGGATTGAATCCTGTCCACAAACGTCTTTTGTCGGGAGACTATAATTACCTACAATATGTTATGTAAAATGGAGATTCGTGGATGAATGTAATTCAGATCTCAAATTGCGACGTTTCCCTTAGAAATCCGAGCATCGTATTTGCCATTTCTAAGTTTCAAGCAATTCTTGTGGTAGAATTGCACCCGAGCCATTCAATCAAGCCTTGATCAAGTTTGATTGTGGAGTGACTCAATTTAGAACAAGGTTTCCAAATCTTGCTTCTAGATCTTCGATCATAAGAGGTAATCTAATTCTAGCCTTATCTCTTGGTTGATCCAAATTTCGTATAAGGAGGTGTTAATTACTTTGATTCAAGGGTTCTTGCTTCAACAAAAGCTTGGATCGTTGGGCTGAGGATTAGGGTTGCCTTATCAATTTGGTATCAGAGCCTAGACTTACATCTTTGTGGCCGGCTCTAGAATTGATTTTATCTTTCATTTCTTCTCTTGTTTATCTTTTCTTTAAATTTGTCAATTATTTTCTTGCTGTCATTTCCGTCATTATTCATCAACTTTTCACTTTGTTCTCATTTTCTTCCTAAAGATCACGTTGAGATCTTGAAAAAAAAAATCTTATCATATCTGTTCTTACGATTGTGATTATAAACAATATTTATCATTTTTTTAGATCATTTGCATGTTTATTTGAAGATCAAATAAACTTCGATTCACATCTTTTTCTTTATCCATCTAAATCTAGAACCGTTGTGTTTGATATATATATATATATATTTCTCATAATCTACGCTTGAAGATAACTTCTAAATTTCCCGAATTTTGTAAAAAGGAGAGTTAGATCGTACTTAAAATCTTCATGTTCTTTCTTTTTGGATTTTTTTCAGTGTGCAATTATATCCAAAAATATCTTCGTGTCCCTTGTTTTTTTGTTCACGTCTTGTTTTATTTTGTTGTTATTTCATAATTAACTAATCTTGATTGCTTTGAATAGCTTGCTACTATCAGAATTGCTTTACGTTATATTAGCCTACCTTAATCATAATTTAGTCAGTTTCTCAAACAGCCTACCTTTGTGTGTATAAACACGAGTGTCCCTGAGTGTAAAATCAGTGAGTTGAGTGTGTGAGGTCCTAAACACATTCTACTACTGTTTGTACAATCATGAACCAAGATGGAGGAAATGGAGGGGAGATCAATGAAGCTAGGTGGAGAGAAGCACAGGTCGGAACAATTACTCGTTTGAATCAAGTTATTAGTACATTGACAGACCGGATGGAGCAAATTGAAATAGCCTTAGGTAATCTTTAAGGGAGGGAAGTACACTTGAATGAAGGAGTTGAAAATGAAGAAGATGACAATGTCACCCTTTTAGCGGGACATAGTCTTAGGGGAGGGAGAGATGTCAGTCGAGAGAGAGGAAGAGTCAGAAGAAGGGGTAGAGAAATTTTAGCACAAAAAAGAATTGAGAGGGAGTACCAGTATGAGAGAGAAAAAGAAAAAGGAGTCGGGGGAGTAAAGCTAAAAATTCCAACTTTCTATGGGAGATCTGATCCAGAGGAGTATTTGCAATATGAGAGCAAAATTGAGCATGTCTTCGATTGCAACAATTTCAGTGAAGAAAGAAAGTTGAAGCTTGTTGTGGCTAAATTTTGTGATTATGCCATTATATGGTGGACATCTTTGAAATTAGAGTGGAGGAGAAATTATGAAGAACCAGTTGAAACGTGGGAGGAATTGAAGACATTAATGAGAAAAAGGTACATTCCTAAGCATTATTCTCGAGTACTCAAGCAAAAACTCTATACTTTACAACAGGGATCCAAAAGTGTTGAAGAATATTACAAAGAAATGGAGACCCTTATGAATAGAGCATGTATTGATGAAGATGAGGAAGATACAAATGCTAGATTTCTTGGTGGGTTAAACCGACAACTTGCTCATCAAGTGGATAGGCAAGCGTACTTTGATATGCAAGAATTATTACACCTTGCTGCCAAAATCGAAGGGCAACTAGCTTGGGAGAAGGAGAACTCCAAGAGGTATATGGTATTTCAAAGTCTACTACTTTCAACACTTGGAAAAAGAATGCAAATATTGAAAAGATAGATTTCAAAGTTGGAGGCAAGTATGATCTTGACAAAAAGAACAAAGCTGAGACCTCCAAGGGTAAAGAGAAAGTGGAGGAATATAAGGAGATTCGAGAAAGAAATAGAGACATCAAATGTTGGAAATGTCAAGGAATTGGTCATCTTTGTGGTAATTGTCCTAACAATAGAGTCATGATCATCAAGAATGGACAAGTTGTCACAGATAGTGAGGAAAGTGACCATGATGAGCTAGTTGAAGAGGAAATCCAAGAGAATGAGGAGGAACTTGAAGATGGGAGTCATTTGGTACTTGTAACCAGAAGACTTCTTAAAACTCAAGTTACACATGATCAAAGAGACAACCTATTTCACACAAGGTGTTTGGTTAAGGGGACTCCTTGTAGTCTTGTAATTGATAGTGGAAGTTGCACCAATGTCGTAAGTACAATGCTGATCAAAAGGTTGCTAATTCCAACCCAACACCATCCTAAACCTTACAAGCTTCAATGGCTCAATGACAGTGGAACAATGAAGGTAACTTCTCAATCTTTAATATCTTTTACTTTAGGAAAATATAAAGATGAAGTTCTTTGTGATATTTTACCAATGCATGCTGGACACATATTGCTTGGCCGGCCATGGCAATTTGATAGAAGGGTTATGTATGATGGCTATTTGAATCGGTATTCTTTTGTAAAAGATGGTAGAAAAACCACTCTTGTACCTTTGCGTTCTGCAAATATATTGCTGATCAATTAAAGTTGGAAGGAAAAAAAGAAAGAGTTTGAGGAAAAAGAGTTGAGTGAAAAAAATAGAGAAAAGTCAATGAGAAAAGCATAGTGAAAAAAAGAATGAAATTGGAAAAAAAAGGAAAGAATGTGAGTTGTTTGGCTAGAGTTGGAGAGGTTAGAAGGGCAATGTTCTCACAAAAAAACCATCTTTGTACTTGTGTACAAGGAAGGATGTTTGGTCTCTAACGATAATAATTTGTCTTTGCCTAGTATGTTTCAATCTCTTTTACAGGAATTTGATGACGTATTCCAAGATGAAGTCCCTAAAGGACTACCTCCCATTAGAGGTATTGAACATAAAATAGACTTCATTCCAGGGGCAGTAATTCCTAATAGGTCAGCTTATAGAGCCAACCCAACGGAGACTAAAGAAATTCAAAGGCAAGTAGAGGAGCTTATGGAGAAGGGCTATATACGAGAGAGTTTGAGTCCATGTTCTGTACCAGTCTTATTGGTGCCAAAGAAAGATGGAACGTGGCGCATGTGCGTGGATTGTAGAGCCATCAACAAAATCACAGTAAAGTATTGACATCCTATTCCTAGGCTAGACGATATGCTTGATGAATTGCATGTTTCATGTTTATTTACAAAGATTGACTTGAAATCTGGATATCATCAAATTAGAATGCATGTAGAAGACGAATGGAAAACCGCGTTCAAAACTAAGTTTGGATTGTATGAATGGCTTGTTATGCCTTTTGGGTTAACTAATGCTCCTAGTACATTTATGTGCTTAATGAATCACGTTTTGAGAGAATATTTAGGAAAGCATGTTGTTGTGTATTTTGATGATATTTTAATTTATTCAAAGACCTTGCATGAGCATGTGGAGCATGTTAAGTTAGTTTTGATTACACTTAGAAAAGAGAAACTTTATGCTAATTTTAATAAGTGTAGTTTTTGCATGGAAAAAGTTAACTTTCTTGACTTCATAGTTGGTAAAAATGGAGTAGAAGTAGATGAAGAGAAAGTTAAAGCAATCAGGGATTGGCCAACACCACAAAATGCAAGTGACGTTCGTAGTTTTCATGGGTTAGCTAGCTTCTATAGGAGATTTATAAAAGATTTTAGCACCATAGCTGCACCATTGAATGACTTAGTGAAAAAGAATGTTGTTTTTAAATGGGGAGATAGGCAAGAGAATGCATTTAATGAGCTTAAGAATAAATTAACCAATGCACCATTACTTGTCTGGGCATAGGTGCTGTTTTGATGCAAGATGGCAAACCCGTAATGTATTTTAGTGAAAAACTAAATGGGGGCAGCATTGAACTATCCTACCTATGATAAAGAATTGTTTGCTTTAGTTCGCACATTGCAGGTGTGGCAACACTACTTATGGCCTAGAGAATTTGTGATCCACTCTGATCATGAAAGCTTGAAGTATCTTAAGGGCCAAAGCAAACTGAATCGTAGGCATGCAAAAAGTGGGTGGAGTTTATTGAAACATTTCCGTATATCATCAAATATAAGCAAGGTAAGGATAATGTGGTAGCCGATGCATTATCTAGAAGGTACAATCTTTTTACTTCTCTCAGTGCAAAAATTCTTGGATTTGAGCCTATTAAAGAATTATATCGAGATGACCACGACTTTGGAATTATTTATGCATCTTATCTTACAAAAACAGTTGTAGATGATAATTATGTGTTTCATGAATTCTTATTTAAGAAAAGTAAGCTTTGTATTCCTAAATGCTCTATCAAAGATTTGCTTGTAAAAGAAGCACATGGTGGTGGCTTAA